CTAAGCAACTGCCAACTGGGCTCTCTAAAACCTTAGCCTGCCTTTCTACTAGACTAGAAATGACTTGTTCTACCTCAACAGACGTTTCTTTTGGCTTCTTGTGTGGCCTTAGAGGATATCACGTCTATCAGACAGTGTGGGCTCCGAGATTACATGAATTGCTTGCTACGAAGCACGAACTAGACAACTTACATGACCGTCTTTGCTATAGCAGCAACAAAAAGGCTTCCAGGGCGCTTATCATCTGCCTCTATTGTAGGACACTTGCCGAAAGAAATATCAAGAGTAACTAGATACATAATGGAGCATGGAGCAGTTGTAACACTAAAAGTTATGGATATCCACTACTGCAGATCACCTTTAGTACAAGGAGGACTAGAAATCCCAGTCATGGCCCAGGTTCAAATGACTAGTAATGTAAAGAATAGGACTGCTTTAGATGAATACAAAGTTCTGGTTAAAAGACTCTACAAGGAAAACATTGATGGAATTTTTGAAGATGCAACTGCTGAACTTTTGAAAGAGTTGGATGTGACAGATGAAGACTCAGAAGAAGAGATAGACAAAGAGGGAGAGAAAGAAGAGATAGACAAAGAGGGAGAGATAGTAGAAGAGATAGACAAAGAGGGAGAGATAGAAGAGATAGACAAAGCTAAGAGGGAGAGATAGAGATTCAAGAAGTTGAAGAACTGAATTAACCATCATGAATCATAAATAATAATTATTAATAACTATTAATAATTTAATAAGAAATTGAAGTTAGCGTGGACTTAAGTTAGCGATTTTTTAAAAATCGCTAAAATTCGCTAAATTAAATACCCGCAAACAATTGTCTCCTTAAGGTAATACACATGTGTATTTACATGACATGTACCATAATAATCGGATATTGTCAGTTTGCTAATTGTCACAAATGTTCATTTCTATTGAAGAATAATTTTTTTCAACTAACTACACAATGTGGCAACAATTTTAACTAGTCAAATGCAATGCATTAATGGGGCGAGCTTGAGTGATTTGTGGTATTGCACTGACTCTGCTACTAGCTAGGCTGCTTTTCCAGTTAAATCTTGAGTCTGGAATGCCATCATAGCCCTCTGAGCTATGTAAAAAACTTGTGTCTTTTTCATTCCAGCTAGCTAGGTCATTGCCGATAATCTCAAGCTTTCTTCTTGCTTCATACATGCATATGTGTTTTTTTTACAATATTTAATAATGCTACCACATTAGCTCATGGACTGATAAATAGATAGTAGTGCATACATGGGGCGTGACTAAAAGATGGATGTGTCTAAAGATGCACTTACATACATACATGTACATACATACAGAAGACTTCTGCTACAGTGGGGCTTGCCCAAGCTCACCCCAATTAAAGAAGCATGTTATTGAAATACTAGAAAGTGACAAGAATTTGAAGACACAAAGTACATGTACATGTGTACCAGTATACATTATACATGTACACATGTACATATCTTGACCCGTGTACATGTACACTACAGTCAAATTGTGATTGCACATGTACATGTAGTATACACAGTTGTCATTATTGTTTTTACATAACACCTATCTGTCATACTATGTGTGTGATGACTATGATGATTAAAAACTGATTGTTACCATAGGTAAGATGGATTAAACCCTAGTTAACTAGATGAAATGTTTGTGTGTATAAACAGTACCTCCCAGCTAAATTCATGCCTATGTTGTACAAGTAACTTGCATTCGCCCCCCATACCCATCCACCTTACAAAACTCAACCATATATGCATGCACTAACTTGATGTACAAATTAAGTACAATGTACCTTAAATCCATTATTAATTATGAGTCCTAATTTTTGTATTTTTTGCTATTGGCTTTAGATTTGCAAAAATTAGTACTTGCATTTATTGATAATAATTGAAAAAGAGCAACATCACACTAATTAGTTCTGTATTTGTTCGATTAAACACCTGGGCGTTTAATTACATTGTTGTACATACATTAACAGCACTTTTAGCATGGGTGTTTAAACAAAGAGGGTGTTAATTCAGGGTCGGCGATTATTAATTTTTATGTAGATGGGCAGTTATTAAAATAAGCAGCAAGCAGAATGGCTACTACTCAAGTATTATTATGTCTATAAAACTATTTGGACACCCTTTATTGGTAAGCAGCTATGCTTGATAACTGAGGACAACAATATAATGATTGTCATGCTGTAGCAATCATGAAAGATGGTGTTATAGTCAGCCATATGCCTCGAAAGTTGCTACCTTTAGCCTGGTTTTTTATAAAGAGAGGAAGTGAAGTACATGTAACTTGCGAATTAACAGGGCACAGAAAACTGGGAAATGGACTTGAAATGCCTTGTGCCTATATTCTTACAAAGGATCCAAGAGACTGATTACTACAATCAAAAAGTTATTAAATTTGAATTAATCATTTATGAGTGACTATTTATGATTAAATGTATGATTTTTGTTTGTTTAAGTTGTAATTGTTATATAATATTTACAATTAATCATCATCAATGCACATCTCATTCTTTCCTAATTCCTCATCATTTTCATCCGAAGCAAATTGGTCTGCTGTGTCATTACTTTCTTCAGTTAGCTTCTTCATTTCATCTAATAAAACAGCCTTCCCTTCAGCACATGGTTGTCCATCTTTAAAGCAGTGTATCAAGTCATCTTCAGAGCCATCTGTAGCAGTTACTTTTAAATGAGCTTTTTAAAGTTCCAGAAGGAATTGATTCACATGACTGTTTCATCCAGCTGTAGATTAGACTATGAGATGGAGCTTTAAGATTGCCTCCTTTTTATTGATGACAAGAAGGCTCTGAGAGTCATGTATCACAATGCTGTCTCATATTTCTTTTAAATGATGCATTCCACACCACATCAGCTGCCTGTATATATCGTGTGCAGCCTCCATGTATGATTGCTGTCTCTAACATAAGACGTGAACATTCTTCTTTTACAGCATCACCATGTATATGACAGCGATAGGCATCCTATATCATTAAACTGGTTGAAAATGATAACGTTCCTAAAACATTCTTGAGATATTCAATAGTGAGGGAGTTATTTAACCACCCATTTGCACTGAAACGTACAATCAAACCAGAAATTGTAATAGAATCTTTAATAAGATGTGTACCTTGGCCTTTGAAGTTTGAAAACAACAAATGGTTTAAGCTTTGTTCCATCAGCTTTGGCTCTAAGCACAACTGTGTAATGATCCTTTTCATGACCACTACTGTTCGCTGGCACTGAGGGAGCTCCTGTGTGATTGTGTCACCAGGCATATCGAACCAGCAAACGGTTTCATTCATAGCAAATATACAGTTTAGTGAATATTTTTGACTGAGTTGAAGTTTTCGCAAGTGAATAATAAAATCAACTAGCTTACTAATACAAGCAGCTTGAGGATTTTGACAAACTGTTGTTCTTTGTCTTAATGATAATTCATTCCTGTGCAAAAAACCTTGAAGCCAACCAGTACTGGCCTTAAACGTATTATTTAATGAAATAGTTGTAGCTTAATTGTCTCATAATCATTGATCTACTCACTCAAACATTTTGTTCACGTTAACCAGCAATCCACTGAAACAATTGTTAGTCCATTTCAACATCTAATGCTTTCTTTCCAGCTCCATTCAGGCGCTTGTGTTTGCTTTTACCCACTTTCTTCAGTTATGTCAGTTTTTTTGTGCTCGCCATTCTAGAATACATTTTCGGTCGGCACCTAAGTCTCTAGAAACAACAGCGATAGACTTCTTCTTTCAAAGAGCCACTGCTTTTAATTTGAAATCAATATCTTAACACTTGTGCTTTTCCTTCTCCATGATACTCGTGGTACACTCGTGAGTACAGTACTGCACCCACGTGCACTTGTGTAGTCACACCCATGGGTGTTAAATTGAAGTGGGTGCTTAATTAAGCGTGGGCATTTATTGCTTTCCTGGATCCCCTGGCCTGGGCATTTATTTAAGGAAGGGCATTTAATTGAGCAGCGCGTTTGATTGAGCAAATACGGTACATGCTAAATCAAAACCATTAGCAAATTGCAAATATTTTGTCTTTTTAAGAAAAATAAATGACTTTAAAGTACTTGTACATGACTGTATAACATAATAACGAATTATGTGAGATGTGCTCTGTGAAAATGATTAAAGGACTTTATGTTGACTTGTCAGACCTAGTATGTAAACTTACGGCTGAATTGTACAAAATAATTGTGTTATTGATACATAGTGTCTTCCATGATTAGTCAATTAAAACTTAGTAGAAATTTGTTAAATTAATACAATTTTAACTGCATCTTAATTGTAACTCCATAAATATGCATGTACATTGTAATAATTGATTAATTTGTTTTACTATATTTTAGACACTTTTCTTGACTTTTGGGTTTATGTGACTATTAAGGCAAACGTCAGAGATATGGTTTGCGAATAACTACATGTATTTGTAATCTTGCCTGACCAATTTCTTTCACTAGGCCACTAATGTTCAGTTTATGTCCGAATATGGTAATCCTCAGTTAAGCATTGCTGAAGCAGGATACTATTTAACTACTCTTTCTGCTGCTATTAGCTACATCAAAACTTTATCTGCAGAAAAGCTTCAGAAACAAGAAGAAATGTTTGTTTTAATGAAAGTTTTAGGCTACATTTATTTTTATATTAATTTTTTTAGTAATTCGCAATTTGTATTATGTGAAATAGATGCTCTAAACTGGTCTGCTTCACAATGTGGCATTTTTATGGAAGTTGTTTCACAGAAAGAGCTTGTTGGATATGCACCAGCTGTTGTCAAGAAGTGGGTTTTGGATAAAAGCAGGTGAGACAAGTATTGTGACCTAATGCCTGATTGCATTCATGTAATACATCTATTGTACATGTATGTAGACCATTTAGTACAGTTCTTGTTGAAACAAGTGACAGTAGTGACAAGGTACAAGTAGCTATTGTTCGGTATGGAGATATTTTTTGGTTGTTGTTGTGTATCATATATGTATTTGTAGGTTTTCTAGTAAAAAATTGTCATCAAAACATGCTGAGTACTTTTATGACATTTTGACCAACTTTGATGTACATGGAATATGTTGCAGAAGTTCAGAAGATGGCTGTGTTGTCGTGGCTGACCCAAAAATATGTGGTATGTTGATTTGATTATATGGTAAATGTATGTACTGTAATTTTATGCGTGTACAGTACCTGTACCTTTTGAACTTACATGTAACTTTTAGTACATGTAACTGTTGCACAAAAATGGCTTCTTTTAGATGGAAGTCATGCTGAATGATTGTCTCTATTATCAAGTGATTTAGCCACTTTAGCATGTCCTTTTGTTTCATTTACATGTATTTCGTCCTGCAAGCTTTTATGGCTTTATAGCATTTGTCATAGAAATATCCTCATCATTAGCAATTCCTATTTGTTCGTAAGTTTTGCTCTGAAGAGCCAAAAATTGGCCATCTATTATTTTGAAGACAATTGTACAGTATTGTGTCCTTGATTGTCCAAGCAACTCTGTGCACCTCTAGCCTATTGAAGGAAATGTTCAGATAGCTGAAATAGCCTGAATAAGCAAAGTACAGCACAGAATACTGTAGACTGACCTATCCAATACTTTTTGAAATAAATACCGGTATGTATGACTTCCCTTTGTTTAACTCACAGAGCATTTGAGGCTTCTCTTACTAGTTTTCCTCTTGGTTAAGCTCCATGCTACAATACTGGTGATTAAGTATTTAACTAGTCTTCGCATGCACATTAGACTAGACACAGCGATTTGTGGGGTTTGGATATACATGTATGAGTCGTGAATAGTGGAGAACTTATAGTATAGTGTGAAACAAGCTAAGTAGCTACTCTACTTTTGTGTAGGTAGTTTGCTGCTCCTTTGTTGCACATGTGCAAAGCCACCAGTAGTAGTAGTGCATGTGGTCAGCAGCAGACAGTAGCTCGACGGTTGAATCGAGTAAAAACCTCCTAAATGGGCTTCTGAAAACAGAGAACAGCGGTACAGATGAACTTGAACAGCACCGACAGGCAACAGAAGCTTTCTAAAGTCATTTGAGAGCCTCTTGAGTGTGTGAGCTTATGCTTCTACAGAACATGTGACTGGGCAGTATTGCAGTATTTCCTGGGTATAGTACAGCGAAGAGTAACAAAGTAAGCAGTGCAGCAAAGAGTAACAAAGAGTAGCGAAGAGTAACAAAGATTGGTGAAGTAAATAACTCTACCTATGAACTACCTGTGTACTACTTGTGCTACTTAGCTTTTTTTGCCTTGTACTATACATGTATTTGCCGGACTCCTACATTACATGTACATGCACTTTAGAATTGTACCTGTCTTAATTTAGTTTTGCAGTGATCCAGCAGTTTTATTGAAAAAATGATTTCAGAGGATATGGACCTGTGCACCTAGCAGAGATCAATAGTGTAAATATTTAAGTTTGTTTGCATTCACCTTAGCCTAGGATGTTGCTGTTGACTTTACTTTCTGCATTGGTTTTACAAAGCTAAAAGTACTTGTTGAGTGCCACAAGTAATTTGCTAAAAAGAGACCCTCAGAGGAATGCATCAGTATCTACTTGTACATGTGTATTTTTGCACTATAATTAGTGAAATGAAAATGAAGGCTCGATCAGGACCTTAAGTGTGAGCTGGCCAACATTATGATGCAGCTTATAAACTATTTTGCCAGATGCTCTGGCTATATGAGATACATTGGTTGAATACAGCTGTGTGCCTTTTACATGGAGCTGGTATTCAACACTGCAGTGTTGATTGAGCTACACTGTAGTGGTACTGATGCATTTTTTCTATCTGCAAACTCTGCTGCTGTTAGTTGCTAGTCCACATCCTGGTAATACCGTATAGCTAGAAAATGTCTGTGGCCCAAAATTCTGGTAACATTTCATTCTTAATATTTTGGTACACAATTTTTTGGCCTATTTAAATGAAATGGCATGGTAAATATGCAAAATAAAATCTGCAAAAGTCATTTTGATAGCTATTTGCAAAATATTTGGGCCATAGAAATTTCTAGATGGTAATAAGCCACACCCGTGTCAATAAACATTAACTGGAATGTGTGAAGAGTTTTGAGATATGGCGAGACAATAGTTCTGAAAAGGACTTGTTTAAGTAGCTCCAAAGAGACCAAGAGTTAGTAAGAACAAGAAATTTAATAAGTCAAGGGCACTACTGCAGGGGCTTTGCTGCATTGACACTGATGAAAGTATCGGTATCAACCTATTTTGATGAAAACCGGCTGATATTGAAATTTTATGTATACCAAGCGGATATGAAACCAGTCATGCTCATGCTCTTTTTGCCAGATGTGACTGTGACATGACATATTTACTGGACACACACCTACTGTTGCCTAACAACCACCACATTTTTAAGCATGGCTGCTGAGTCATGCATGCCTCAAGAGGAAGATACAAACCATTCTGACTTTACATGTAGCTTGCTTTTGACTAAAGTCAAAGCAATTAAAGCATTCAAGATGGATGATCCAAAATCAAGAAGATCTTTTAAAAAAGATAGATGGTGTAGAGAAGAGGATAACTTGGAGACATTTGCTCGAAATCTTGAAATTATGGCAAGTAATACCAAGGATTATGTAGATGTGTGTACATGTACAGTACAAGCCAATAAAAACTTCGCGTTCCGTTTACGTTGAACGGCCGTTGGGCGTTTCAATGCTATATAAAAAAGTTTACTTCCGTTTATGGTCTGTTTTTCTATGGAGCGCGTTTTTACGTTGGCTCAACGTTTTGTCCTTGCCTCCTTGGTTTTCTTTACTCCACAGATACTACTATGCTCGTTCTTGACTGCCGCTCTGGAGATACTACTGTCATATCAGTTCAGCGTGGACCTCAACTCAAGGAGACGCTGTGTGAAGTCGAGGTGTGAAGTACTCGTGTCATTGGAGGACGGGCCACCAGGCTCGGTGTAGTCTAATTCACTTCAATTTATTGTGATAAGCATTATTTATCAGTATCATTATTATATTTCTATCATTATTGTACTCTTACTTTCTAAAACTTGTAGTATATATATTATAATTTTATTTATTTATAAAAGATGCAAGCATCATGCATTGTGATCTTGGTAGGCTAGCAGGTCTATAATTAAATGATTTTATTTCTATAAATGATAATAATATAATAGCTGCTTCTTTGCTTGACAGAGCACTCTTTCTTGTGACTACTTCTTGTCGTCCTATTGAATCATACAACATGAGAATAAGGTGGGTGAATTATATAAAATGCATGTCGCTACGTTTACGACTTACCTGTCTCGTTTATCATCAACCATGGCTCGTAGTCATTCTGTAAGTGTATCTAAGAAAGCCTGACTCCTGAAGAAACTGTTGAAAAAGAGAAAAGTTGAGCAACGCTTGGAGCGTTGTTCATGATAACAAAAACTGTAGTGCCCAGACCCAACGGACCATGAACGGAACAACCACAATAAAAACGGAAACGGTGCTACCGTTTAATTGCCGTTCAACGTAAACGGAACGCAAAGTTTTTATTGTCTTCTACTGTATGTAACGTATTTAATTGAAGATAAAGGGAATGCTTTTACCAACAAATTTAGACATTAGAGAAGTTGAAATTTCTACTAAACAAATGGTCTGCCACAGTATCTTTTAGAATTAAAAAAGAAGTCAATCCCTGAAGTTGTTGTAAACTTATGCCTGACCAGCAGCAAACCACTTCATGGACAGTGGTTAATAAATGTGTACAATCACTTCAGCTCAATAGGTGGAGCTTCAAAAATATTAAAAGGATGAAAGCATAAGCCCCGTTTACACTATGCCTTTAAAGGGGTTTGAAACAGCTTTAGAAATAAACCAGTTGATGTGTGAACAATTTCAATGCTAGAGATATATACCCATCATGGATATGAAACAAGAAGTAAATTGCTTGTGCCATATTGCTCTTGACTCTAGATGTGACTATAGTGATGTGTAATGATGTAATGATGCCTACACGTGAATAAGCATGGCTATCCCCAACACACTGTACATTTTTGCAATTAGGACTTTCTCTTTAGAAGAACTCAAAATGAATACCCTTGTCATTAAAGGAGTGATACCTAACATTGAAACTTTAAGAAATTTAGAAGGTGAAGAGAAGAAAGCTATAGAACTTATTGCCCATTATAACTAAAATATAGAGATCTAGTAAGATTTTTAAAATGATGAAAATATAACACTACATGTATGTTAAAGATATGCTTCTGCCATCAAAATTCAGGAAACTTCATGAAAACCTTCATTTATATACATGTAGGACTAATGCCCTTTTGCTGCTGCTAAGTAAACTGAATGAAATCTATAAGTATCTCTTGTAGTGAAGATTACATAATGTGGCAGTGCATGATTGACACAATTTTAGAGAATAAACTTGAAATTTCCAAAGGTGGAATGACCAGGATATCATCAAGCCCTTGAGTACTTTCTCACGTTGAACAAAATGCTGTAAGGCTCAATGCTGCTTTTGTCATACGAAAGTTAGAGAATAAATTTAGAAGTATATGATTGTGTAATGAAGGCATATTGGAGGAGTGTATTGCATGAAGAGTGTGATTTTGACCAGGATTCTTCTGAAGAATTGTTGGAGACTACTGACAGAAGTGGGCTTTGCTATGTAACTGGTGCAGCATTTGATTTTTTGTAGGAGTTGAGTTATTTGTTTATAAAAATTTGTCATGTAGATGACCCAGAAGGATTCAGGTAAAAAGTTTAACAAACTTACAAACACAGTATGTAGTGACCCAGATATGTCAGTATGGATGGAGTGCATACTAGGAATGAAAGACACCAAGAAAGCAACAACACTGCTGCATGAAATAGTGACTGAATGGATAAAAGTCAGAGGACACTCTATTGCCAGTATGATGATAGAAGAGCACCAAAAGAAATAGTGTATCTGGGAAAAAAGAGGGCTACAAAAAGAACTAACACGTGATGAAAACTGAACTGACACATCAAGTGTGATGGAAAATGGGAAGTCAGAGCACAAAAAATTGCCAAGAGATAGTCCACCAAAGAAACTGAGATAGTGCCTATTGCCTAAAATAAGTGCTAGATCTATGTTGTGTATTATTTGTAAAGTAAACTGTTGTATTTTTGAAATAATGTATGAAGCAAGTATGAATCCTATATAGTGATTGTAGTTATTATAATTTTGTGTTAAATGGTTGATGACTTGATGTATACTATATGCATGTAATTCTCAGTCCAAAAAAAATTATGACAATAAACTTCCGTAGTCTTTTTCGCAATGGCTGATGTAATTCGTCAATACCATGGAGCACTCTTTTTTTTTAAACATTTAAGCACTTATTGATTGATAATGCTTGTGTGTTGTGCAAATATTAACTTGTTATTGGATTGGCTCTATGACCACAAAGTGCTCTTTGGTTTTAAAAGAAAGCCTTGACATTATATGGATTATATCTTTATAACTATGTACAAATTTAGCACTGTCCAAAGAAGGAAGAAAAGGCACTACCTCAATAAACGAATTCACTATAAATGTTTCAATGTAAGATTTTGTAATAGTACATAAATATCATATAGTACCAGTAATGTTTAAATTAATAAATTACATTCTGTTATGATTATGTGGTTAGGTTAATCATATTCATGCTAATCACATGTGCGTAAGTTAAAACTGCGTCAAACCACAAACCCACGTGGTGCTGCAGTTGGAAATTGTTTTCCATTGTTCTCTGAGTTTGCTTCTTTTTGAAGCCACATGTCCAGTTCTTGACCCGAGCTCAAAGGAATGATGTAAAAGCCAACATGAGCGGTTCTCTGGCTTAAAAGATTCTGTGTTGATAGCAGAAGATGAAAGAAGAAGAAGTCTAAAGAATTTGCAGAAATTCGAATTTGGGCCTATTCTCCAGGAATGCTCCCGCTACATTACAGTCCACTTTAAAGGTACCAGGAGAATTGCTCAGTGAAGGAGAGAGCTCATCGAAGCCATTTATAAGGCTGTACAACATAAGATAAAAGAGTTATAAGTGTTTTAAAATCATAAAAATGGCTGACATCTTGAAAAATCAAGCTCAATCCTACATATAGGCTACCGCCTATATAATATACTTTTGTCAGAAAGAACACTCCTTATTCCATTTAAGTCGAAAGATGCAACAATTATTGCATACTTTTCTTCAATGACGTCTTTGGTGTGAGAATTTCTAGATCTGGTGCTTGCAAGCTTTGCTAATTGCAGACACCATTTTGTGACACATATTGTCACTCCATAGTAGCTTTTCCATTGTCAGTTTTTACAGTAAAACAAAGCCTGTTTTTTGATAGCTTTTGTGTAACTCTGATAATGTTTCTGGCAAAATTTTGTTACTAAGATTTTTAAGACACCGATTTTGATACATTTAATCGCCATCAATTGATAAAAATGCTGACAGACTATTATTTATGGGGGCAACAGCCAAGAGCTTTAGTATTTTCAATATGTTGGGGATCATTTGATATTTTTTTTTGATTGAGATAGTTGTAATATCGTAGTAAAAAGTTGACTTATGACTAGATTCTAGCATTTCCCCCAATTGTATGGAAATTTATTATTTCATAAAAGTCGTAGTCTATTGTTATTGATAAATGAACCTAAAATTTAAAGAAAGGTTTAGTGTATCTACAAATTTATATCCAACCCTGTTTACTTTAAAGAAGAGGTCAGTGCCACTATTACAAAGTAGGTAGAAACTGAGAAGCTTGAGTTGGGTTTTGAAATTGAAGCTATTACCATAAGAGGTAGTTGAAAGTTTACATGTGGTCAGTTAGACAAGATCCTTTAAAATCAATTTACTGCAAGTTACGGACTTACATCGAAGCAGCACAGCTGTTTCAGAAAATCCTACCAGTATTATACCTGTGTTAATGGAGCATGGAAATGGAAATTCATGCATGTGTGATATGGTTTCATATGTGCAAGCAAAAATACAAACCAATGAGGGTGTAGTGCTTTGAGCCATGCAGTACAATGAATTAAGGTTTGGACAATGCCAAAAATTAGATTTGAATCCGATGGCAAGTTGTTTTGACCTCAATATTAAAAGTATTGAGTACCGATTTAGTTGTAGTAATTAATAATAATTTAACTTTATGGGATACCTTTCTGACCATACTTGTTTCAATCTTTAAAATTAAAAGTACTAGAAAGAATGTAAAACATTGAGGGGCTCCACCTCCAGACCGCACCTCCCAGTCACGCCCAGACTTACGTTCAAGTTCTTGTAAGTAAGGGCTTCGCCCAATAATAATTTTTAAAAAGTAGGCAGGTTCTCATGAGTTATTGTTGGCTTTACATCAGTCAATAATAATTGCCATTGAGGCATATTATACCTTGTTCTTCTAGTGAATATTTTGTTAAGCTTGATATCTATGTCGTGTCCTGGCATTTTTTGGCTGGACTTAGAAACAGATAGTCTAACCATGGATTTTGCGACCGTTTTTATGATGCGTTTTTCAGTATTCTTGGCTATTTTTTTGAAGTTAAGAAGAAAATACCAAAAAATTTTATTGTGACGATCTTCATTTTTGGCTCAAGTAGAGCTATCATCTGTTTTACAAACTTGTATTGTTCAGAACTGGAGATTTTAAAATTAAAAGTGTTCATAATTGACCAGCCTACTTTAAACAGTCACTCTTTATAATCACGAACAGATTACCTTATAATAAGATGTAAATCATTAAAATGATAGTTACATAGAAAGAAATGTTATTTTGAAAGTTAACAAAATGATTTAACAATCAACAACAGCTAATTGATTGTTCATAAACTGTATCTCATAAACTCAGTAGTTGTTTGTAGTAGCTTTTTTTGTACGTGCATGCACAATGCTGAAGTATTTAGACGGAAAAGGTCTTTCAGTACATACAAGTTTAAACACAAACCAAAAATAAGTGGAGAACATGATTTTCATGTGTTATGTTAATTAATAAAATGTTTGTCCACGTAGCAGTCAAAATGGCAGTTAGCTTGCTGCTTAACACATGGTGTTAGAGACAGGAATAGAGTCATGAGTCATGTATTGGAGTATAGGCAAAAGCTGTGCATGCGTTGTGCTGACAATAGTACAGGAGGTAGAATAATGTCCATTAATCATGACAATGTTCAAAATTAAACGTGATAACATTTGCTTGCTGTCCCACACTTTGCTTTTAGTTTAAATTGCTTAATCTACAACTAATTAAATAGTACTAATAATAGTTATAAAGAAGTACTTTACTTTGAGACACAAAAGGAGACTAGCAGTAGCCATTTTCCTCTTTTCTGCCACATGCTCACTACAATACTGTCATCATTTGCTAATTAAGGCACCATTACAAAACCTTTGATTTCTATAGGTTTATTTGTTAAGTTAGTTACAACGCCCCTGTAACAGACATTTTTGCAATACAGGTCAATGGTATTTATAATCACTCATGCCACGCCCTAGAGGTTATGAATACCATACTGTGTGCATCTGTTATGATTTTTACATATTTTTGTTTTATGGCATGATAGGAGAAGAGTTGATCATTTTGAATTCAAGAAATATTTTAGAACAACTCGAAACTCTTCGGTATTCCATTCAGCTGATTCGTTTAGGAAGTCAAGTTCCTGAAGATGATGAGGAATATCCTCCTATTCGTTCCTCAGTTCCTGTCAGTGCAGTGGCAAACTCTTTGTCTTACTTAACTTCTAAACAGCATGATAGAAGTGGAAAAGGAAGAAGGGACAACAGTGCCTTATTAAGTTGTCATGTTGATTATGATACTTACAGATTAAGCAAAGAAAGGACAAAGGAGTTTGTGGTTACTGCCGAAGTGCATCATTTGGAAGTAGACTCTGAAACGGACTGTGGAAAGAAAAAAATGGTACAAAATCATTGCAAAAACCTCACAGTGTGTTATATGTAACATACAGTACTTGTAATTCATGCTTTATTTTCGGTAGGGCAAAGATGATGAATCAAGTACTGTTTTCAGTATGTTGCTAATTTTTACTGACTTTTAATTTAATATAATGTAGCTTGTGATATAGTTTATCTTGAGCAGAATTACAGAGAGAATCACATGTATGGTAATCAAAGTGGTAGTGTAAAGGAGAGTTCTTTGCAGTTGACAAAACAATGTCAGGTACATCACTATAATGCATCATTTTATTGTGAATGGAGTACAGTACATCCTCCATTATCGAACATCTTGGTGCATTTTTATTTGGAGAAGTGTTCAAATAGCTGAATAAGTCCTGATAAGTGAAATACAGCGCAGAATGCAGTAGACTGACCTATTCTGTCCTTTTTTGAAGAATAAATGTGCATGACTTTCCTTCCTCTAACTCGCAAAGCATCTCAGGCTTCTCTTTAATGGTCTTCCTCTTGGGTAAGCTCCGTTAAACTCATGCTCTAGTAGCCATTTTAACCGGTTATTAATAAATTAACTAGTCTGAGCATGCACATTAGAGACAGCCATGTATTTGGATAAACGAGGGTTTGGATAACCGGTGTTCGGATAATAGAGGATGTACTGTACTTTCATCCACAAGTAAAATCAAATATTCTATTAATTCAAATTTGGTGGTACTTGCACAATTTCTGTTTCATGGGCCAAGCATTTCATCATTGACATAATTGACATTTTTAGATGATGCTACAAAAACTTAGCTTTCTCAGTCATATTCATTGCCTTGATGGGCAATATGATGATGACACCATGAATGCAGTGCAGTCTTTCCAAGTAATGTTATATAAAAATATTTAATTTATTAAAATAAATACATACATTTATATTATAGATTGCACATAATCAGCAAGATGATTTTTCATCAGTAGGTGTTATGGTTCAAAAATTGAATGACTGTTTTGGAATGTTTTTAGATTCAACTTCCAGAAAATGGTTATTTGTCTATTGCTACACTACAATATCTCAGACAGGAGCTTTTGACTGTGTTTGCTAATTTAATGAGGTGCTAATAACAATAATGATAATTTTGATAATGCATTTGTAATAGGCTTAGAAAGAATGTTGGCTTAGATGTGCTAACTAGTTTTGACCCTATGTCAATAGACCCTGATGATATGAAGAAATTCTTTAACTTTATTGTTAGTTTTCAAAAAAAAGTCAAGATACCTCAGACTGGAACGTTGTGCACCAAAACTATATTTCATATCAAAAGATTGCTGCAGGTGCAGCAAACATTTTCATTTCGGGGAAATAGTTTTTAGTGTTTTATGTTTTAAGCATAATTATTAATGTTCTTAGTTATAAAAATTAATTTTTACACTCAACGTTTTGGAGCCTAGCTGAGTGAGTCCTATACTTACATGTAGCTAAGCATTATGATTTCAGAATTGAGATTAAAGGTTTTGCCGTTGGTGACAGCATTATCTTACCTCAAGACAATAAAACACGCCATGCACATTATTGTGGTACAATGGTAATAAGACATTAAGGAGCCTTCTTGTGATAAAAGTGTTTTAAAAGACAGAAATCGTGGTAAAATTGTGACAGTTTAAAAATCATAAAGGACATAAAATTTTCAAAGTGTCTACAGGTGTGGTAACCGGACACAGTATTCAGGGCTAGAGGTCCGGTAATAGGGGCTTCGCCCCTATATTATATGTAATACTGGGGCTACATCCCAGTATGAATAATCGAGTATAAATCCAAAGACCAGCATCACAAATGCAGCAGGGTCGTGGTGGTGCAGTGGAGAGGCTCATGTGGATTGCATGGATGTGGGCAGTGGTTCGAATCCGTTCAGGACTACTGCATCGAACTATGCTACAGTTTATGATTTTTTTCATTTTTTAAAAATGATTTTTTTCTGTTTGTTTCTCCTTTTGGGCTTTATTTACAGAGGTGTATTTAGGGGGGGGGGGCTGAGGGGGCTTGAGCACCCCCCTCATGGCTGGGCTCAGAAAAAATTACTCAAATCCTGGACTCTTGCATCACTACCAAGCCTCCTAACAAAGTTATCTAGCCCCCTGATCATGATTTCAGCAGTTTCCAGTGCTTTAAGGCTTTGGCGGCTGCAGAAGTCCAACTCAGCCTAGGCATTTCTAATTAAAGGGGTGTGGTAAAAGGGTTAAATAGCATTGTTTCTACTTCCGGTCTAATTTTTAACCTAGGCAATGACCCCCAATGCCTAGGCCTGCAGCCGCCTATGCTTTAAGGAGCAATCAGAAGTACCAGTATCATGGCAGGTCGCATGACAGTATGCTTGAAATGATCTTGGCCCCACCCGTAATTGACAAAAATGCAGAAAAAGGCCGTTTTACCGCCGTAAAAGTGGGTGTGGCCAAAATCGTGGCATGCTTAGCGCGCCCTCAGCTCCCCTCTTCTTATATTCCTAGATACGCCCCTGATTAAGTCAAGAAATAACACACTCTCATACATCTTATCCTCCGGGGTCGTAGGGTTGGGATTGGGGTTTAGTGTTTAGTTTTTAGAGCACCCTCTCGTACATCTTAGCCTCCGGGATTGTTGAGTTTTGGGATTAGGGTTTAGTGTTTCTTGATAAAAAGATTAAGATCCATTTTGCACTATTGTGCATGCGCACAAGCTGTTTTACGGAGAAAAACAGACTGCCGGATCTCTAGCAATTGAAAACTGTGTCTGGTTACCGGTCCTCTAGACACAGCCTAAAATTTTATGTTCTAAGTATGTGCCAGCTATAGCCATAGCATCTATTCAATTCATGTATGCCTACCAGAAAAAAATTTTTGGCAAGTGCACTTATCAATGAAAATTCTCATTATCCCCCTCCTGGGCTATTGTTGTTAAGCCAACTCTGTCCTCCTTTCCTGTAAGATCTTGCACCCAATATTGGGTGAACTGAAAAATCTGTCACAACTCATTTCTCCATACATTACCGCAAATTTGACCATTTGCTTCAAACACATGGTTTAGACTTAAAGGTGTGATCTCTAACAAGATATTTCTCTAACAAGATTTTTCTTCCAGCTGCAGTGCAAAGGCTCTCTCTGTAGCTGAGGCTAAAGTTAGTATAACTCTGGAAATTGAGCGATGAGAAGCAGTGCGTGCTGTTTCACAGAATATAGATGTCTTGTGTGCTACCAACTGGTTATGGCAAGTCCCTAGTACTTGGCATAGACTACTTGCAATGGCTTTTGAATAGACCCCTTTACACTATTATAAGTAATATTTATGGCATGGTTAGTATGTCTGTATGGGATTTATCAGACCCAAGGCCAAGGGTGAGGGTGCGTTTGTCTCCATATCAGCCTGAGGCGAGGCTGATGGCTGTATGTGAGTATGTGAGTAGGCGGTGATCCGTATAGACATGAAAATTATGTCCTTCTAAAAAATAAGAGAAATGTTGTATAGAAGAGTATATTGCTAACAAATCTCTATCCAATGTACTGTAGTTGCATTCTGCGGCACTAAGTTTCCTAAAGAAATATGATAACAGTTGCCAATGACCATCGATTAGTTGTTGTAGCACCGCTCCTATTGCTAGATCAGACGCATCAGTCATAAGAGAAGTAGGTGCATTCAGTACAGGATGAAACAGTAAGGTAACATCGGCTAGAGTGTCCTTAATATTAGTGAATGAAGACAGAGCATCAGGAGTCCATTGCAGATCACCTTTTAAAATCTTAGTTGATGGCAGTAATGAATGTAGTGATGACAGAATCTTAGCGCATGATAGAATAAATCTGTGATAAAAGTTCACTAGTCCTAGGAATTGGCATAATTGCTTCGGAGTGGTTGAGGATAATTACGAATTGCATGACTTTTGTCCTCCAATGGGCGGATTCCACATTGATCGATGTGATAACCTAAAAAGAAAGAAGGGTTAGCAAATACACACTTATTAGAGTTTATAACAATTCCATGTTTTTGAATCTAGTTAGTATTGCAGTGAGATGAGAGATATGTTCCTCTCTAGTACTACTAGTGACAAGTACATCATCAATATAGGCGTAGCGAAAGGGAAGTTCATGAAGGACATCATCAATAAATCCTTGAAATGATTGCGCTGCATTGCGAAGAACAAATGGAATTCGAACAAATTCAAACAGACCAAACAGAGTCGTGACAGTGGTTTTGTGAATGTCCTCAGAGGAAACAGGTATTTGATGAAATGCTCGTACTAGATCTAGTTTTGAAAATACAGTTTTACCTTGTAAAGTAACTGTAAAATCATGAATATGCGGTACAGGGTACCTATCAGCTGTAGTATGACTATTGAGGAGGCCATAATCTCCACATGGTCTCCAGTTAGTAGAGCACTTTTTAGGGACCATGTGCATTGGTGAAGACCAGTTACTTGATGAAAGTTCGATAATCCCAAGCTGTAGCATGTGATCAAACTCAGCTTTAGCAATCTGAAGCTTCTCAGGAGATAGTCTTTGAGGATGTGCGGTGACAGGAGGTCTTGTAGTGAAAATGTGATGAACAGTATTATGTTTTACAGGAGTGTCACTATTGGAGGGTTGAGTAACTTCTGAATATTGCCGAGGGAGAGCACTGAATTTGTCTTGAAAAGGGGTTGATATGTATGGAGCTGAGTAACATCAGGAGGTTCACACAGAGAGAGTCCTTGAACTTGTCATTGTGTGAAAGAGGCAATAAGATGCTTGTTGCGCATATCAACTAAGAGATTGTGACTCTTAAGAAAATCAGCTCCAATGATAGGGTGTCTTACATCTGCAAGGATGAATATCCAACGAAATGGACAGCGCAAACCAAGGTTCAATGTAAGAGACCTTTGACCATATGTAGGTATGACTGAATTTTTTGCAGCCTGTTTGAGAGACTAGTTTTGCTGCGTAGTCGTTCAGGAGGAGTAGGAGGGAGGACACTAATTTTAGCTCCAGTATCGATCAGAAAACAATAACCTAAACAAGATCAGACAAGTAAAATAAGCGACTATTATTGAGTTGGCCAGGGTCACTGGTTGCCATCAGTGCCTGGCCTGGTCGTTTTCCGTCCAGGTCAAGGTGGTTGACATATCCTGGTAGCAGCCTGAAATCGACTGTGGTACCAGCAAAGTGTAGTACTCTGATGTTGTGTAGTTACAGGGCGAGCTGGACTAGAGCGACGAGAGTGATGAGCTGAACGGGATGCTTTCTTACGTTGTGACAACTGCTTTTGTTGTGATTCAAGTAGTGTCTTGAGAGCAGCAATTTCAGCACTGATTTGCTCAACTACAGTAGAAGTAGCCACAGTGGATACTTGTGGTGTGAAGACCTCAAGTAAGTCTTCATGAATTTTATCCCCAGAGCCAGCCAATACCATACAAACATTATGTGGAAGTTGTTGTAAAAATAACTCTCACAGAAAAGAACCGTCAGTAGGTGCCACTTTATCTCCTAGTAGTTGTTGCATTCGATGGAGCAATTGAGAGGGCTTTCTATCACCAAGCTCTTCTGAATTAAATAATTGTTGCAGGCGGCGTTGTTCAGAAGTAGCAGTGCACTTCACCTACTGTTATTTGAGAGTGTTGTATTGAGCAAAAGTAGGAGGATGGAGGATGAGGTCACATACTTCCATATAGCATATGGTGGAGAAAGAGAAGCAATGACGTGTTCAAACATGGTCTTCTGGGAAGTAATTCGTCTTGTAGCAAATTGAGCTTCTACCTGCGTGAACCAAACAAGAAGATCCGCTTCCCAGAATGGTGGTAGCTTGACTTAAACAGAAGAAATGTCGACGGTAGCAGCAGGAAACAGAGGAGCAGGAGTAGTCGACCTCGGAGGTGTTGAAGGGCACAAACAAGACATAGTTTGGGTCACCAATGTGGTTACTTGACTTTTCATTAACAGATTGATCTGATAAACAAGTAACAACAACTGATAAGTGAGCATAAACACAAATAAGCTAGATGGAGAAGGATATAGAGAAAGACAAAGATGAGAAACACAAGTGTACAGAGAGAGTGTGTGTGTGTCAGAAATAATTAATTAGTAATAAATAATAATAAGTGAATATTAATAATAATGAATGTATATATAATGTGAGCATTGCTGCTACAAAATGATGGCTTATTATTGGTATACAGAACATGGAAGCAAGAACAACTTGGGAGGAGTAAAGCAAGTCAGGAAGAGGCAGCCAAACAAGGTAGTCAAGCATTTTACTAATCCCTCACTTGGATACCGATGTTTAGTATGTTTGCTTGACTTATATATCTCCAAAACGACTCAATTCAAGCCAGATAGTAGTGACAGTGACACATTTTACTTAAGGCTAATGATTGAAGATTACAGCTGTGATG